AGAAGCTTATCAACGGTCCAATCTTTGACCACGTTTCCTTCAAGAGTTCCCCAAACTCTTCCTTCCGTTGAGAATAAGTCGTGATCTCCACCGAAGATAATCTCTAAGCTGCGATAAAGAAGCCTTGAGGATATGTTATGATCTCCACAAGAATGATCTCTTGTCTACTATAAAATGACTCTAATCTGAGAGAGAAAGACACACCCCACCATAGGCATACAGAAGACGAACCGACTACCGGAGATTATTATTCTTTGACTCTCCATTCTCTCTCTCAAAGCTTGTATCTCCATTCTCCATACCTTTGAATCAATAAAATACCCGGCAACTGAAGCCATTGAAGAGTGGACGTAGGTCGAATTGACCGAACCACTATAAATTGTGTCTTCTTTAATTTTCTCATTGATTTCATTGCATTTATTATCTATACTTGACAGGTGGTGTGCAAAACCATTTTTGTGCATCATCAGTTAATAAAAATAACTATTTTTTTTTTTTGGTGATGGCTAAGTTTAGGGGTGACAATCGAGTCGTGTCATATCAAATTCATGTTGAGTCATTACGAGTTTGTGTCGAATATTAATCAAACCNTGGATGAATGGAAAATGATGGGTTAAGCCCAAGTAGTCCAATTTATGTATTAAAGCCCAACCCCGGTTGAGGAGCCCAACCTCATCGTGAACCCACCAAGTCCAAGACAGACCAAGGCCGGTTAGACTTCTTGCTTAGCACGTCACCAAGAGGAAAGCACGGTTGGACTTCTTGCTTAGCACGTCACCAAGAAGAGAGCACGAGAAGCTTATCAACGGTCCAATCTTTGACCACGTTTCCTTCAAGAGTTCCCCAAACTCTTCCTTCCGTTGAGGATAAGTCGTGATCTCCACCGAAGATAATCTCTAAGCTGCGATAAAGTAGCCTTGAGGATATGTTATGATCTCCACAAGAATGATCTCTTGTCTACTATAAAATGACTCTAATCTGAGAGAGAAAGACACACCCCACCATAGGCATACAGAAGACGAACCGACTACCGGAGATTATTATTCTTTGACTCTCCATTCTCTCTCTCAAAGCTTGTATCTCCATTCTCCATACCTTTGAATCAATAAAATACCCGGCAACTGAAGCCATTGAAGAGTGGAAGTAGGTCGAATTGACCGAACCACTATAAATTGTGTCTTCTTTAATTTTCTCATTGATTTCATTGCATTTATTATCTATACTTGACAGGTGGTGTGCAAAACCATTTTTGTGCATCATCAGAAAATAAAAATAACTATTTTTTTTTTTTGGTGATGGCTAAGTTTAGGGGTGACAATCGAGTCGTGTCATATCAAATTCATGTTGAGTCATTACGAGTTTGTGTCGAATATTAATCAAACCTACCTTAACTCATTTAACTTATTGTGTTGTGTCGAATTGTGAGTTAACCTGTTTATTTTCTTATCGAATTCGAGTCGTGTTATCGTGTTAAGTTAAAAAATTTCACCCTTAATTAAGATGAAAAAAATATTTTTTTTTAATTTAAAATTTTTATTTTTATTTTTATATTAATTTTTTTTAATTTTTTTTTTAATTAATATATATATTACTATTGTATTTTTATATGAAACTAATATATACATAATATATGAATATATAAAGATATATAGACAAATATGATACATCTCAACATAAATAATTAACTTTCCATCCACTTTCCTTCCGATTTTGGACGGATTAATTTTGATGAGTTAGAAAGAAAATTAATCTAACCACTTTTTCATCCTTCTTACTTTCTTTCCTTACCAAACAAATATTTTATTTATCCTTCCAACTTTCCATCTTTTCAACTTTTTATCCTACCATTTTTCCATCATTTTTCCATCTTACTAGACGGAGCATTAGATTTGATCAATCTCGCTGGTGGTTGTTAAGGGCCAAGCTCCATAGAAATGAAATGAATGCAATTTATAAGGCCTGTGAACCTGTTCACTGTTCAATTTTTTTCTCTCATTGAGTTGCCTTTCTGCAAACTTCAAGGACATATAGCTCAACATAACACCCAATGGGGGATTGGGTGGGAGTTTCAATATTTTCCGGTTGCGAAGAGCAAATAGGTTGCTGCTAGATATGCAATGTTGCGAGGCTTACTAACAAAAAAGAGAGGGGGAGTGATAATAATATATCCCTGGCTTCTATACAAAGGCCTGAAAAAAGAAAGTTACAAAGCAATGTTCAATCATCTCCCATTCTCTTGCCAAAAATAGCTTCCTGAGTTACAAGTCTAATTCCTCTCACCCACAGCTGGGCCATTTCAATTCCACCCTCGCACACAAAATGAACCTCCATGGTCTTGGTGGTGATGACCCGAAACACTCCTGGTTCATCAGCATCAAACTTCCTCCTGCGGTTCCACCGAAATGCTGAACTGGGACCCACCTCAGCTCCCTTACATATTACATTTCTCTTGCTTGATTTTCCCCACCTCAACACACCAGCGGCACCCACCATCTTGAGTACCTTCCCATGGGGAGTTCCTTTACCTTTCTTTGTGTGCTTCTTCACAAAAGCTCCACCCAACACAAGTCTCCGAGCCAGTTCATCCAATATTACACATTCTGCATCATTTCCCACCCCATTTTTCCTTGCCAAGAAGAGTGCAGTCTCATGCCTAGCATTCTGAATCTCACACCTTGCCCCACATGAGATCAGGAGCTCACAAATCTTCCTATGACCTCCTCTTGCTGCTAGCATAAGTGGAGTGTATCCATCACAATCGAGCACATTAACGTCACAGCCTGCACGAGTCAACGTACATACAGAGTCTAGGTCACCACGACGTGCAGCACGATGTAGAGCACAGAATCCACCTGAATCGTGCTTTCCCTTTGCAAGGGAATATTCTAGCATTACCTGTTCAAAAGCATCACTCTTCTGATTTGCTTCTGATAGGCTAATTGCTGTGTCACCGTACTTATTAAGTAGCTGTACATCAGCCTCAGCATAAACAAGAACACGGAAAGCCTCCACATGACCACCTGCTGCGGCAACCATGACTGCTGAGAATCCATTTTCATCTTGCTCATCAAGATTGATGTGTGGTTGCTTGGTAAGTACTTCTAAGGCCTCAATATCATTTACTCGCGTCACAAACATCAGTGGAGACAATATTTTTGCACTGCTAGATTGAACAACCTTCCCTGCTCGAATTACATCTAGAACCGCTTGTTGGAATCCGAGTGTCCACCACACTAATCCAGCAATTGAGATAACAGATTGACCAGCCAAATTGACCAAACCAAAATTCGCACCTGCTGATGCCAAAACTTTGAGACACTCCTTGCACTTAAACCTTGCACAGATCATTAGTGCAGTCTCACCAGATTCAGTCCTGGAATTGAGATTGCAGCCAGCATTGATAATGTATTGGAGAACTTCAGCTAAGTTAAGTCGTGCAGCCATATGCATTGCGCGAAACTCTGT